CCTGGCAGGGGAAAGCTTTGCTGCTGCAAAGGCTGAGTTAATTCTCTTTGTAAGAGTTCCTCCCTTGGGAGGTCCCTCAGGTAGGGCAGGGCGCTGCTTGCACCTCCACAGCTTAATTTCCTCCTTTGTGTTCTCTAATCTTGCTCTTCCTGGCAGGGGCTGTCCCTGCAGACATTCCCATCAGCAAACAATCACCTGCCAGTGATAAGCAGAGTGTGATCCGTGGTGCAGACTCTGGGATGCCACTTGGACTTTGGCCCTGCCACCATGCTGGGCTCTGCTGCAGCCCTGAACCCTCAAAATAGGGGGGACATTGGTCATTCCTGGTGTGGTGGTGAGGAAGCAGATAAGCAGCTACTGAAGTGACTTGCCCGTGGTCGTGTGGTGGGGCAGTGGCAGAGGTGGGAGTAGCATCAGGTCTCAAATTGTAGAGTTTTAATCACGTGTCTCTTCCTTCTGCCAGTGGAAGGCAGGGCAGGTCAATGTGCAGGTGTCAGGGCACCTGTGTCCTGGCTCTGCAAACTGTTTGGTGTCCCTGTGCTTCCACTTCCCAGTGCTGCTGGTGGCCACGGTGCAGCTGTGTGCCCGTGGCTCTGGGCTGGCTCTGCTGCAAACAGGAGTGGTGTCATACGTAATCATTCACAGAGAGTGTCGGGAAAGCAAACATCCTTATCCTTGGGTTGCTACTGAGATTATGTTCTCAACATATTCTAGTGAAATTCTAGTGGGTTACTTAACCACCTTTTAGCTGCCAAAATAAAATCCCATCTGTTGCTCAGCCCTTCAGAAGCATTTCCGTGTGCTCTGGCAGAAAGAGCAAAGCCCAGCATTTCAGGGTGCTTAGCAGCCGATCCCCTGAGAAGGTGGAAAAGGAGGGGAAGCAGCAGCTCTGGGGAATCTGGAAGTGCTGCAATGAGCAGATCTCCTCACCCTTCTTCCAAACACTCGGCTTCAGAGCAGGGAGAGTCACTGAGTCTCCAGCATCGGGACTGCCACGCTGTCCCTACTCCATGCCCTGGGCTTGTGGTGGAGACACTGCTCCTTGTCTGGGGGAGCAGAGAGCCCCTTCCTCCCTGCCTCCTCCCTGCCCATCCCACTGTGTTTTCTCTTAGCGTTGTCCCTGTGCTGCCAACCTTTGCTGTGGAAGTGTTGTGAAAGCCAGGGGAGGAGTCTTGCTGCCCGCAGCAGGGAGATAACGCAGTGGGGTGTTAAACAGCCAAATAGTCCTGGCTGGGCCCATCATGGTGCTCGTAAACTGGGCAAGGGCCAAGGGAAAGGGCAAGCCTGCCCGGTGCCAGCTGGCGCTGCAGGGATGGAGGTTGGGCTCAGTGAGTTTGGCAGCAAAATGCCCTTGGCTGAGGCCTCTCAGCTGAGCAGGGTGGTATCTTGGCTGATCCTGCCACGTCCCGCACCAGCAGCGAGCAGACTTTGCACACCAGTCCCAAAGGCTGCCCGTCCCTGTGGTTCTCCTGGGGGAAACCTCTCCAGAGCAGCAGAGCAAAGCTCAGTTTCTCTCTCAGAGTGAGCATAAGTGCATGTGGCCAAAGCACTGGGCACACAGCTCCACTCCCAGCCCGTGTGGGAGCCAGGACTGGGTGTTGGAGGGCGCCAGCACCAGGGTAGGGGATGCAGGAGGATATAACGAGTCTCCTTCTCTTCCATCAGGCAGAGAGAGCCAGGACCAAAGCAGTGGCTCTAATGATGACTGTATGGGCCATGGCTCAGGACAGCCAGGTGAGCAGACACGTGCACCCCACATCTGACTCTTCTCTGGCCCAAATAAAACTGGGTTGCACTGGATGATCTTTCGAGGTCCCTTCCAAATCCTAAGATTCTGTGATTCTGTGAACACAGGGACACCTCCCATCAGGGACCTCCTCCACACCAGGAGTGAGGCATTGCAGCCTGGGCTCCCTGAGCACCAGGGGTGGTTTGTCCTGCTGTGGGATCCCAGATGAGGACATGTCTGCAGCACTGCGTTTCCCAGGCCATTTGGAAGGGGCTGGGGCATTTGGTGTCGTACTTCCCTGGCCCTGCAGCCCCTTACTTGCCCTGCTTGGGCTTGGGTCTCACTCTCACACAGGTCTCTGGAGCAGAGCATCTCAGCAGCGCAGACCCTAGCGTGGTGCTTCCCTCAGACCTGAGCTCCGTGTCTGAATGAAGGTCACAGGACAGTGCTTTCCAAACCAGAGCTGAGCCGCAGGACTGGAGAGCCTCAGATGTGAGAGGAAACCAGCAGCTCTGGTGTGAGAGACGTGGTGCTAAGGACAGCCTGGGAGCTTGGAATTTCAGTGGTGTTTGCTGTTATGGGGCTCAGGGCCTTTATTGCCAGGCTCAGTAGGTGTGGGGCAGATCCATTCCTCGGGCAGTCAGTACTGGCCATGCAGGAGAGAATTGGTCAGGAATGACTGAGTGGGGCTGCAAGACTTGATTTTGGGGATGAAGAGAATGGAGCAGGGTGTCTCTCCTTCAGCACAACACCTCCAGCTGCCTGTGGACTCTAGAAGGACTCCGGTCAGTCTTGTGGGAAGCTGGATCAGGTCCTTGAGCACTCCTGGCTTTGGGGGAGACTCTGAAGCTGGGCCAGTGCTTGGTCCCTGGAGCTGGGAGGAACTGGGGGGACTGGGAGTCTTATGACTGCAGTGAATCTCTGTGGGTTTCTCTGGAGACCAGGGAGGATGCAGGCTGGATCCATGGGGGCTTTCCAGCAGCGAGGGGACAACTGTGGGAACAAACATGGGAATTCCCAGGCTTTTTATGTGTAATCTAGTATTAATTCAATAGTAAAGTGATGAGCACACTTCTGTGTATTCTTCTCCAGCTTCTCCAGCACGGGCACAGCCTCACAGCCCACAAGGCCACATCCACCTGCTCAGGGTCACCACCACATCCCTGCTCTCAGGAGCACAAGGGGTGCTGCGAAGTAGCCCTGGGGCTGCTCAACCCCAGGACCACGGGGCTGGGGGAAAGTCTCTGCAACCTGAGCTTTGGTTTCTCCTGGACTCCAGGGTGAAATCCAACCTCAGCCCCAGGCTCTGCTGTGGAAGGGGGAAGGGAGCCTTTATCGGAGCCTGCATCTGCCCAGCCCAAGGAGCCGGGATCATTTCCTAGCAGTGCCCGGCCTTTGCACCTCCCCCGTCTCAGCTTTCGGGCAGGCTCCTGCAGGGCTGAGAGCTGGGTCTGCCGTGAAGGCGTTTCCTCCATTGCACACAGTTTTAGTGCTGCTGGGTTTGTTTGCTAAGCCCCAGAGAAGGGAAAGGCCCTGCTCCAGAGGAGCAAAAGCATTAACATAGGTGTAATGTCACCGGCTATCAGCAGAAGACACGCAGGACAGCGTGTGAGAGCTCAGCCCTGAGCAAGGCTTGGCTGGAGCTCAGCTCTGGGATGTGTCTTGTGGATATGCAGCCTGACCCGACATCTCCACGGGTAAAACAGGTCCTACTGGGCATGCAGGTCTGCGAGGGGAGGGAGAACGTGTTGGGACAAGCGGTCCTCATGAGTGCCACCTCCTAAAGGGCTGCCCAGGACCCCTGTCTGGAGCACAAAGGGGAATCAGTGACCCTTCGGGGGATCTGAGCAGCCAAGGATGAGAGAGGCTGAGATCCAACACAAGAGGATTTCTTTTCAGCTGACGTAGGAAACACGCAGCCTAATCTGAGTCCTGCCAGGTAACCTTGGGCAGTCTTTGCCTCTTTGGGACTCATGGTTTCTCCCTGCAAACGGGGCAGATGTTCCCCTCCTGGCTGAAATGCCTGGGACCTGCAGATGCAGGAGCTACCCCCGTGCTACCACCAAGAGTTTCAGCCACCTGCGTCTTCCAGGAGAATGGGTTAAACTGGTTTTGAAATGACATATTCTACATTTTTTCTGGGCCCCATAATAAACCAGAGCCACTAGTTACCCATTCACAGACCCCTCACTAAAGGAGCCAGAGAGGTGCTGTCAGATACAGCACAGGTTTATTTTGGAGGCTAAAACCTCTTTATATTTTTGGTCTGTGGCTTCCTTAGTGATGGCAATAACGACTTGAGAACATCTCTGCTCCCTGCATGTGAAATCTGCACTTCAGCACGCTGAAGTTGCACAAGGCACCCTAAGCTAACAAGCACAAAGGCCTTTGGCCATCGTAGGGAGCAGTTTTACAAAGCCTCTCATTTGCATGCGCCCAGTGGTGTTCGTGTTGTGCGAGTGCTTTGCTGGCTTTGTCCACCCTCCCTTACACGCAGCAGTTTCTTTTCCTGGTGCCTGTGTGCACTAATGGCAGCGTCCCCGGGTAACCGAGGGTGCCCAACCATTTGCCTCATCTTTCCCTGCAAAACCAACCAGAGCAGCAGAGATGTTGCTGGGTTTCTTTCTTCTTTCTCCTTCTCCGTGTGAAGTTCCCTGGGCAGGGACAAGGATGGGGACAGGGACAAGGACAGGGGCAGTCAGTGCTGGTGCCAGACACCGATGAAGCAACCCCGGTTCACCAAACCAAGCCGTGCCAATGGGATCTGAGCCGAACTGTGCCCAACCGAGCATCGCCCAAACGGGACCCGGCTGAACCGAGCCAAACCGCAGACCCCGAAACGGGTTGAACCGGGTTGAACCGAGCCGGCTC